TTCGTCCGATCTGGATCTGTCGAATCAAATATCTACGTATCTGAACTGTACGGATAATCTGCCGGTGTATGGGGCGCTATTATCTTGTAATAAAGCGCCGAAGTTTTTAGAAGTGAATTAAGCAAAGAAGGTTTTTTAAAATAATTGACTGAAGGCTTTCAAAATACTTACCCGGAAAATGGTGCAGCAGGCGGACTAGTGGCTTGTTGAGCCAGATTTCCAAACCCAATCGTATTCTGCGACGCCAAGTTTCCAAATCCGGTATTTTCCGGGGTCGCCGCCGCAAAACCGCCTAAAGCCCATGCGAATTTAGCCAATCCCGACTGGCAATCGGATCATTATTAATATACTAACCGGTGGCGGGTGGTTGGCTGCCTCCAAACACTTTTTCGGGGGTTCCAAAGCTGGGCGCCGCCCCAAAGCTGGGCGAGCTACCAAAAGACGGTGGCGAACCAAAGGCAGCTGGCGCGGGCGATGCTCCGAAAACAGGGGCGCTTCCAAAGCCCGAGGGCTTCTGGAAACTTGCAGCCGATCCAAAGCCGCTTTGCGCCACCGGGCTTCCAGCAGCGGCACTGAAGGCGCCCGTCTGTGGGCTGCCGAATGACGGACTCGCACCAAAAGCCGCAGTTTGTCCGAAAGCCGGTTTGGCCCCAAAACTGGAGCCGCCTCCGAAAGCGGGTGGAGCGCCAAAGCTGCCACCTTAGCAGGAAGTGAAAAAAACTGTAAGTACCCCTAAAAAAATCTTCAGGGGGCCCCAATTTGCTGTAAATTTTCATAATTTGCCCCTTTGCTTACCAGCGGCATTGCTTCCAAAGGTCGCCCCCGTACTGGCTCCGAATATCGAGCTGGCTGTAGTTGTGGGGCTGCCGAATATCGAGCTGGCTGTAGTTGTGGGGCTGCCGAATATATTCTTGGCCGCTGGTGCGGTTTGTCCAAACCCAGGGCCTGCAATTCATCATTCAAAGGCCATAAAACAAACGAAAACAAAAACGAATGGAAAATAGTACCGGAAGAAGCTCCGAAAATATTCGACGAAGACGACGCAGGGCTCCCGACGCTCAATGCGCCAAAGCCGAACGGCCCCGAAGAAGCCTTCGGTGTGGTTGAGGCCCCAAAGGCCGTCGTTGCTGTCGTTCCGAAACCTGCAACTCAATTTCCTCAAAAATCCGCAAAAGCACCCAACTAATCCATGCAAACCTGAGCTACTGGTGGCTGGCGGAGCCCCAAAAATGCTTCCGGAGGCCGCAGTGGTGGTCGCCCCGAACACCGAGCCGCCACTGCTCGCTCCAAAGGCGGGCGGCTGCCCAAAACCAGAAGCAGTGCTGGCAAACGTCGGACTACCGAACGTGTTAACTGAGCTTGTAGTGCTGGGGGCCCCAAACACCGCCCCCGGCTGCGCCTGGAAGGCCGACTGTGGGGCCGCCGCCCCAAAAATGGGATTTGCAACAGTGGCGTTGTTGCTCCCCCCGAACACCGATGAAGTAGTCGGGGCCCCAAATATCGAGCCAGCACTCGAAGAAGTCGATTTGCCGAAGAGACTTCCGCTGGACGCCGCTGATGTGGAGGCCCCAAACACTGAGGAACCCGCACTCGGGCTGGCACTTCCAAACACCCCATGGGTTGATGAACCTCCAAAAACGCCTGCATTCGTTGTGGCACTTGTAGTGGAAGTTGAGGCTCCGAAAACTGCTGAAGATGAAGAAGCAGCTGGAGTGCCGAAGACTGTTCCAGTGCTGCTGGCGCCAGCTGTGGTAGAAGTTGCAGCTCCGAAAACTGCTGAAGATGAAGAAGCAGCTGGAGTGCCGAAGACTGTTCCAGTGCTGCTGGAGCCGGAGGTTAAAGCTGTGCTGGTAGTTGAAGCTCCGAAAACTGCTGAAGATGAAGAAGCGGCTGGAGTGGCGAAGACTGTTCCAGTGCTGCCGGCGCCAGCTGTGGTCGAACTTGAAGCTCCGAAAACTGTTGGAGCTGAAGAAGCAGTTGGAGTGGCGAAAATTGATCCAGTGCTGCTGCGGCTTCCGGCTAAACTTGCGGTGGAAGCTGCAGCTCCAAAAACTGTTGAGGGTGAAGAAGCAGCTAAAGCTGCTAGGATTGATGGCGAACCGCTAGACGCTCCAGCTACAGAGCTTGAAGCTGCCGCACCGAATGTAGAGCCAGCAGTTGTGGTGGGCGCTGCAGCGCCAAACGCTGGAGTAGCAGGACTTCCAAAGAGCGATCCGGAGCTGCTTGAAGCTGCTGGCGGCACACTGGTCGAAACAGCAGCGAAGAGCGAAGCTCCTCCAAACGCTGGGGCTGCTGTAGAAGCAGGCGCGCCCCCAAAGATCGATGCAGTTGTGCTAGTCGTCTGAGCACTCGGACTAGCTGCTGCGCTGGCTGCACCCAAAATCGAATCCTTACCGAATACACTGCCAGTGGTTGCAGCTGCAGTCGCTGATGTAACTTTCACAGCTGAAGTGGGAGTAGAGAAGATCACCCCACTTCCAGCAGCACTCGTTGCAGCTGCAGTGCTTTGACCAAAGACACTTGCAGTCGGAGCTGGAGATGAAGAAACCGCAGGGCTGAAGATTGACCCAGTGCTTTTTCCGAACACACTTGCAGATGAAGAAACCGCGGGACTGAAAGTCGACCCAGCGCTGCTTCCGAACACACTTGCAGTTGAAGCTGGCGATGAAGAAACTGCCACGCTAAAGGCCGGCGCAGCGCTTTTTCCGAACACACTTGCAGATGAAGAAACTGGGGGGCTGAAGGCCGGTGCAGTGCTTTTTCCGGACACACTTGCAGTTGAAGACACCGCAGGGGTGAAGATTGACGCAGTGTTTTTACCGAACACACTTCCAGTTGAAGCTGCAGATGAAGAAACCGCGGGGCTGAAAGGTGACCCAGCGCTGTTTCCGAACACACTTGCAGTTGAAGCAGGAGAGGAAGAAACCGCGGGACTGAAGGTTGGTGCACTGCTTTTGCCAAAAGCACTTGCAGTTGAAGCTGCAGATGAAGAGACCGCAGGGCTGAAAGTCGACGCAGTGCTTTTGCCAAACACACTTGCAGTTGAAGCTGGAGATGAAGAAACCGAGGGGCTGAACGTTGACGCAGTGTTTTTTCCGAAGACACTTGCAGTTGGGGTTGAAGCTAGAGCTGCAGAAGGGCTTCCAAAATGCTGCGGAGTTGGAAGAGGTGCGGCCGAACTGGTCACCGTCCTTCCGAAGATGCTGATCGTTGCAGTAGCGGTGGAAGACGCGGCAAATACTGGCGCATCCGAACGTCCCAACAGCGAAGTTGTTGTTTTGGCCAAATTTAGAGCAGCTGGAGCGTGAGCGGGGGCGGTTTGAGCTGGCGCCCCGAACGAAGGACCGCTTTTGGCCCCGAACTGCTGAAAGCCCCCGAACGCCGCAGGGCTTCCGAAGAACTTCGTAGCTTGGACTTGGGGGGCTGATGTTGAGGTTGCTTGGGGCTTGGCCTCCAGCGTAAAAGCTGGCTTTGCTGTGGTGAAAGTGGGGCTGGCAGTATCCGAGCTGGGTTTGCTTGCTAAGCTACCAATGCGAGTGAAGGCGCTTCCTTCGAAGCTGCTTATAGCCGGGCCGCTGGCTAGGGTGAAAGGAAACGAGGCTGTTCGGGGAGTTGATACGGTCGCCTCCACGACTTCTGAGGCGTCAAGCTGCGAGCTTTGGCTCAAATCCAAAGTCTTGGCGACTAGCGATTGGCTGCTGTTCAGCTTGGAGATGGATTGGCGCAGCTTGCGGGCTGGCGACTGGTTGATCGCCCACGAAGACACTTGCGGCTTGACCGCTTGGACTTGCGTGATTTCCCGTTGATTGAGCAGCTGGCGCAACTTGCTGCTTTTCCCTGCGGATAAATGTTGCGAGTGCTTCCGGATCTTCTCATGCTGGAGCTTGAGCAAGCTCTGCGGCGTTAAGTGGAGCGCCGCAAAGTCATCCACAAAACTGCTCTCTTTATCCAGCTTCAACAGAAGCGCGCTGGCAATGGAGGACTTTCTTCGCGTTCGCATCTGAATGTCCTTTAGAACAAAGGCGTGCTTTTGAAGCACCGCGTTCTGGCGCACCATCGTCTGGAAGATTGTTTCCATTGTCGGCATCTTCACTCGGTGCGTTTTCCTCGCGTAGTCTTGGAAATTGCCCCACTGCTCATCCAGGGTTTTGTTCGCCTGCGACAGCTGAGATTCTATGTAGTAGGCCAGTTGCTCGATGTCTTTGAGGCGCTTTTGCGACAGCGAGTCGAGCGGCTGGGCCTTGATGAGCAAGGCGATAGCCTCATTTTTTGAGGACTGGTAGTAGGACTTGGCCTCCTCAAACCACGCCCATGCTTGGATGGTGTTCTGCTTCAAGCACTGGATTTCTCCGCTTTGGCCCCCATTGACTGTCTCCAGATCCTGGATGAATTCCTCTAAGGATTTAATCTGTTGGGTCATCAGCACCATTTCACTGTCGCTCCCCACGCTCACTTTAACCCGCCTGCTCATCTCGCTCACGTTCCTCAGCTCGTTCTCCAGAATACTCCACTCTTCTCTGATCATTTCCGTCAACACCTGCGCAGGGTTGATCACCACTTGATTGGTCTTATTTGCGCTCTTGATCTTGTTCACTTTTTGCTCAGCGCTGATCACAATCGGCTTCGCCTTGACCGGAAGGGGAGCAGTTGGAGTAACCGGCACCACGGCAGTCTGCCCCCCAAACAGCGTCTTGGGGGCGGTCGGCGGCTTGATGGGCGTCACAATGGTCTGCCCCCCGAAAAGGGCGGACACTGGTAAAGCCGCCCCTCCTTTTGCTATCGGAGTGCTTTGCACTTGCGGGTTTCCCGCAAACGCCGCTTTCTGCCCAATAATCCGGTCGATTCCAAAAGACACTGGAGGGGCTGGTGCTAGAGGAGCCGGTACTGAAGGGGCTGGTGCTTGTGGAACTGGCTCTTGTGGGGCTGCTGCTTGTTGGACTGGTGTTTGTGTGGTTGGTGCTGATGGGGGTGTTATGAACTTGTGCAAGCCGCTGGTATCAGTTACGGGATCAGGAGGGGTGCAGACTTGGGGCACGCCCGGCTTGGAGTTGATGGCGTTGAAACAGCATAGCACGCCCTGATGGGAAAGGATGCACAAATATGGGCATGGGGGGATGGTTGATTCCCCCATGGGAACAGGAGTGGTGGAACTGATGTCCAAAGCAAAGCCGACTGGCAGGGTGTTTTCTTTGCGAGCCCCCAAAGGGAGCTCGGCCCGCGCAGTGTCCACCATGCTCCATTGCGTCCAGGTTTCCCCGTCCTTGCCCAGGACGCCGATTTCTGCACTGTTGGCTGAAGCCACCAGAAGAACATTCCTGGAAATCATCATCATTTTAATAACTGCGGTCGAAACTTGTGGCGATTTATGCATGGCAAAGTTTGCGCATTTCTTTCCCTGGATTCCAGTTAAGTTAGAAGCTATTTTCGGGTGCGTTTTATACAATCAAGTGCGTTCTTTATCTGGAAAAAGTTTCAGCTTTGAGGCAACGTCAGGCCATTTTTGAGTAAATTTTGTGGGTACTTTTCACCTTCGAAGCTGCGTTTGCAAGCCTAAAACTGGCCATTTATTTTCTCAATTTCTAGAAAAGTTGCAAAGGCAAAAGTTTCGATTTCGACTGATCCTCAGGAAATTTTCAGCGATTTTTAGAATTTTGTCTGTATTTTATGCTTGTTCGAGGTATCAAGTTGTAGTTTTGACCAAAAAAACCTTGTTTTCTGTGTTCAACTGGGAGCATGTCAAATTTTGAGAAATTTTAAAAAGTTTCATTTGCCAACCTGTGGAAACTTTGTCTGAAGTAGTTGACTTTGGAAACAACAGGGACTAACAGAAAAAAGTTTGGACTAAATAAAGCTTCAAACTGAAATAAAATCCATTGTAGGAATGAAAATTTATACCGGTCCAAAGTTAGAGAAAATTTGGCTGTGTTTTTATCTCTTTCGAACAGTTTAGTGATTTAGTGGTAAGTTTTAGGCGGTCAAGAAAATACGTTGTTTCTGATATTTCGCAAGCACAAGTAGCTTGCATCTTCTGAGGTGGAAGAAATTAATTTCCACGACCGCCTAAATGCTCCTGAATCAGTTTTAGAACCCGAAATATCTCAACAAATTCAAGCACTTTTGCAGCATTATTTTTTGCATACTTATCGATTCGGTATAAATTTCGGTACAAGTTTCGGGGATTTCGGTGGACACCCTGTATACCGAGTTTTGGTTTTCCGACAAAATCCACTGTACGAAACTACTTAAGTCCCAGATTAAAGAACAAATATTGATACATACAGGATGATTCAAAAATCAGTCCACAGGTTAGTGGAGTGCCTCGATCACAACGCACATTTTCAAGCGTCAATCAACGAAAAATAACGTTTTCTATATTGAAAATACCAAGGGTTTCAGGAAGAATTCTACCTTATATGTAAAGAGTAAAAGTATCTACATATATACACAGGCGAGGAAAAGCGTCAATGAGATATGCAGATAGAAGTTAATTTTTGAAATTTCTAAAAATGTGTCAAAGCACTAAAAACAGTAATTTTTAAATATTCCTCGCGCATTTAACGAACGCACCCTGTATTTTATACATTTTTAAACAATGTTCCCCCTTTTTTGTATTAGAAGAGTCAAGAAATTTACCGTTGTTTTTGAATTGGTAAATAGCCAAGTATTTAGGCGTTCAAAAATCAATTTTGGAAAAGTTCAATTTTCTGTTTTTTATATAATAAAACACATACAACATGGTTTTTGAATTCCCCATGTTTTTCGAAAAATGTGTCGATCTTGAGCACTAAAAACAAACATTTTTTAAATAGTCCTCACTCATTTGACAAAAACACCCTGTATTTTATTAATTTAAAACAATTTTCCCCTTTTTGTATTAGAAGAGTCAAGAAATTTACCGATGTTTTTGAAGTAGTAAATAGCCGAGTATTTAAGCATTCAAAAGTCAATTTTCTGCTAATATGCTTATATAATATGACATACACAACATGGTTTTTGAATTCCCCATAATTTTCGAAAAAAAGCACTAAAAACATTTTTTTTTAAATATTCCTCACCCATTTTACAAAAACACCCTGTATTTTATAAATTTTTAAACAATGTTCCCCCTTTTTTGTATTAGAAGCGTCAAGAAATTTACCGATGTTATGCAGGCCGCAGATTTACTGTTTTTCCGCAGAAACGAGTCAACTTAGAGATTGACTTTGGTATGAATTTTGCAGAGCTTATTTCGTTTAATAAGTTGCAAAAATTTCGATTTTGAGGTCAAAATCAAGCTATTTTGTACAGTTTGATATTTATTTTCTTAGAAATCGGTCAAGTTGGGGATTCACTTTCTGGAGCATCAGAGAACAAAGTTCCGCCTATCGAGACATTTTTTAAATTGTTCATTTGATTTTTGAAGTTGCTTTAGCAGGCCAAAGTTCGTAAATTATTTCCTCATAAACCAGCGAAGTTGGCGGTTTATATTTGGATGCGTTTTATAGAACAAAGTGCCTTCTTCATGAGGAAAAAGTTTCGGCTTTGAGTCATTGCCAGGCAATTTTAGAGGAAATTTTTAACGCGCTTTTGATTGTTCTTCTAAAAGTAGGCAACGCCGACAAAAAAACAACTTTTATACAGAAAAAATATGTGTGATCAATTGTTGGTGCCCTCACCCAATTGGAAAAGACAACAAGAATTCTTCCAAATTAAAAACACATAAAATTTGATAAAACTGAATGATAAAACTCACCAAGTCTGTTGCAACAGCAGGAAAAACTGGGGCGATCGCTGCGCTTGACTGTAGCACACATCACTATAGTCCGTAAAACTGGGCTCGCCCGTTTTAGGGGCGTCAACCACCACAACACTAGCTTCATCTTGGCCAGCCAGATAAACAGCTATAAACTGATAGGTGGAAACCCACTGTAAGCTGAGCATTGAGGACAAGCGCTCGATTTTGGGGCCATTTGTGACTTTCACTGCCTTCAAGTCGGGCTTATATTGGGTGATTTTGCCGTCGGGCGACCCCACGGCGATTTGCTTGCCTTTGGGGCTCCAACAGAAACAGCACGCGTTTGCTGCCGCTGGAAGCTCGTTGATACTGACAGAATCGCCGTTCAGTTCATACACACCGAGCGAACCATCACTTTTACACGCTGTGAAAACGCCTGGGATTGAGGGGTTCCAGTTCACTTCCCTAACAAACACGCCGGGAGTCATTGATAGCCTCAGCTCTTTAAGCACTTTAAGGTTCTTGCGAAGAAACGACAAAACTTCATAGAAAATCACTGTGGGGCACTGATCCTTTTCAATAACAACAGCCAGAATAGTGCTATCACAGTTCACACTGATGTGTTGGGCTGCCGCAGGCAGCTCCACTTTTTGCCTTGGATAGTCTGTAGAGTCCGTGCCTTTGCCTGCAGCCGATTGGCTGCACTGCTGAAAGGCCCCACTTTGGATCACTGAAACATGCAACATTAGAAAGAGGGCTAGGTAGAGTTTATGGGGCTGCTACCTAAAAAGTGGCCTAAGTTTGTTCCAACAAACACCAGGCCATAGCGGCTGGCGCACGCCAAAAGACTGCAAGCGTGCGGGAATTGGGACAGATCCTCATTGTGGAACACCTTCAGTCTGCTTTGCAGCTTGAACTGCAAGTCCTGCAAAAGGGGTTTGTGGGCTTGTAAAAGAGGGCTGGCAGCTACTTACTGTGACATCCACTGGGTCTGGGCACAATTTTAACATTTTGAACACTCTACGTATAAAGGTGAAAAAAACAAAGCAACAAAAGGGGGAATGTGTATAACGTTTAGATAAATAAAAGCCGCTCAAACATAACTTAATAACGCTCTAACCCAACTTTTTTTGATTCAATTCCGACTGACAAGCAGTGACAAGCACCAGTCTTCTTCTACTCTGCAAGTTTTTTCGCAATTTTTAAATATTATTAGAGTGTTGCTGCTCAGAATTTTCCATATTTTAAAGGGAAACTCTAATTAACTTTCCAGGGCAGTTTTGTGTTGAGATTTAATCAAAAAGAGTTTTTCTGAAGAATGGAGAGAAGAAGGGGTTGACTTGAACGTTTTCTTTGAAATGTGAAGTGACGGTTTGCAGTGAAAAGTGGCGAAAAATTGGAAAAATACCCCAAAAACTCCAGTTTTCAGCGCTTTGGACGCTTCTTTTCCAGTCTGATTGGTAAGATAATGATTTTTTTTTATCATGCAACTGTGGGCTTTTTCATATTGCCGTAATTTCAATAATTTATTTATGGGGCCAATTTTCTCGGGGGCAATTCTACGGAGTCGTCCATTCTAGTATCGCCACTCACGCCTAATTGCTAATGCTAATAGAGTCTCTATAGAAAGGCCTATTTTTTCATGAAATTAAATAAAATTTCGTTCAATTATTGTTGCGCTTTTGCGTCATCAAATGACGGAAATTTGCTGGATTTTTCCACTTTTGGGAGAATCTTTGCTAATTTCCTCCAAGTGGAACGTATTTCCTACCGATCTTGGGCAGTTTTATGGGCGCATTTAGCCAAAGAATGCCACTTTTAGGGTCTTCTGACGTTTCCTGCCAAAATGGAGCGCCATATTTGGGTCATTTTTTCTCTTTATTACTCAGGTCCCATAAGCAGCTTTGGCGCCCCTTGTGCGGTTTCAGGGGTTGTTTATAAGGAAGAACTGATTGCGCTACTGATAACAATGGCACTAAAGTTCAGGTGCCTGTTTTCCAAAAAATTTCAATTTTTTTGTTTTTTAACTGTAGCGACGCTTGATATTAGACAGCGCAAAAATATCATATATGAAATGAAATCCAGTTTTATGGAAAACAAATTACCCAAACCAAAACTGGGTTTTTCCCAAAATCAAAATTATGAACCGTCATGGGCCACGCCCAGATTAAACTCCCACAACGTAGAAGTGGCAGAAGTCACTTTGAAAGTTATTATGAGTCAGTTGCACTGTCACAACAGTGTAGTTTACAAACTTTCGCCTAAAAGTAGCGACTTGCAGCATAAAATACGATGACTGTGAGAGAGTTTTTCGGCTGTGCCTTTTTGGCATTTGGCCCCCCAGTTGCCATGTTCCTGTTCACCATAGTGCAGGATCCTGTGCGAATAATCATCCTGATAGCAGCCGCCTTTTTCTGGCTGGTCTCCTTGCTGCTGTCCTCTTTGCTTTGGTTCGCCGTTGTGCCCTTACAAAAGCACCTGCTGTTCGGCATGATATGTTCCGTGCTGTTCCAGGAAGGCTTCCGCTATATAATCTACCGGATTCTGCGAAAGGCGGAAAATGGCCTGATGAAAATCACCGAAGACAGTACCAGACTGATCGACAACAAACACATCCTGGCCTATGTTAGCGGTCTGGGTTTCGGTATTATCAGTGGGGCCTTTTCATTGATTAATGTGCTGGCTGATGCGGTGGGGCCGGCCACTATGGGGCTCAAAGCGGGCAACGAAATGTTCTTTCTATCCAGTGCGGCGACGGCTCTTTCCTTTATTCTACTGCACACCTTTTGGAGTGTGCTCTTCTTCAATGGCTTCGACAACAACAACAGAATCCAAGTTGGCTATGTTATAGTCACGCATTTGCTTGCATCCGGCTTAACCATGTTCAACAGGTATCAGATCTATACGGCCACTTTAATACCGCTCTATCTCCTTCTCTCGGTGAGTGCGGTTTATGCTTTTCGGGTCGCCGGGGGCTCGTTTGACTCCCTTAAAGCAGCCTGTTCCGTCAAATAATCCTGTAGGAGCAGAATCTCTACGCTTGACTATATATAGACTTTGCTATTTATAACATATTTTTAAGTAGTTTAGGAGCTACAGTGGTAGTTTTGTATTGTTTTGTGAAATATTAATAGTTTATATGCAACAGAGTGCACTTTGATTTAATAGCGGAGATTGGATTAAATTTCACCGACACTGCTGGCTTTTTGCGCATGTTTGCCATCAGAAAAGTGATTTTTCCTGCAAAACGACTCGCATTAAAATAGATTTTTATGTGGAAAACTTCGGTCTTTCAAACGGTGACTTGGAATCGCCATTTCAACCAACGGCGTAGAAGTTAGGGGGTTAGTAAATAAAGATGTCGGTAGAATGTGCAGAAAACTTTCAAAAATCATGCATCATTCATTTTTATGTCCGAAAATGTCACAAAACGGGAAAGTAAAAGTTGTTATTTCAGTAAATTAACATTGTTTAGTAGGAAAATGGAAAATTTGCCGGAATTTTCGAATTCATTGTGGAGCGCTTCTCGCACTGTTGCCCCCTAATTGCTGCCATTCCGGTAGCTTAACTAAAGGGGTCAACAAACACTGGCGAATAAGATTTTCAGGGTTTGTTTATCCGAGAGTTTTGACTTATTTTATTTTATTATTATATTTTTAGTAAACTAAGAAAAAACATATTATAAATGCGAAGCGCTCCATTAAATATTGGGGAATAATCAAGCCGACTTTGATTCAAAATTTTCTTCTTGGGTTTTCTAATTACAATTTCCTCAGAATCATTACAATCTCCCCAGATGTAATGGGCAAAATAATCCCACCCCCAATACGCCACTGGCACAAGGAAATAACGATTAAAAAATTATTGGCAAAAAGTGAGCAAAGTTTTATCGGAAGTATTTCCGGAAATGCCATGAAAAAATTTTTAAAAAATTACGCTCAAACCGTCAACACGCAAAATGAATCACCCTGTAGATTTTTTATATTTCCATATAAAACATGATAAGCGAAGTGCGTTGTTGCCGCTCTATGATGCAAAGTGACAGTGACATTAGATAAACAACACCCATTCGAAGTGGGATTAGATGACAACAAATATGGTTTGATTGTTTGTAGGGAAAGTGCTAAAATATGGTAAGTGAAATGTGGTTTTAAAGCGATTTGTGGAGTTTTGGCTCGATTTGTGGCGGTTTTAGTCGGGAAACGTGCCCATTTGCAAGATCACCGAAGATGTAAGGCAGGCCCTTAAAGAGTTTCGTTTCCGGAAGGAAAAGGACACTGCCGCCCTAGTTTGCAAGTAATTCGCTTATTCGAGCCCAACGAGTAATAAACGGTGGCATTTCAGTGAAGGTTGAGCGAGAAAAGCAGCAAATCATCCTAGATGAAAAGCTGGAGGACACCGACATTGAGTCATTGCAAGAGAGCCTGCCCAGTCATCAACCTCGCTTTATCCTGCTATCGTACAAGCAGGAACATAAAGATGGGCGGGTCTCGTATCCGTTGTGCTTCATCTTTTTTACGCCTAGAGATAGTCATGTAGAGCTGCAAATGATGTACGCTGGCTCTAAATTGGCCCTCCAAAAGGAGGCCGATGTGTCCAGAGCCTACGAGATTCGAGAACTGGAAGATCTAACTGAAGAGTGGCTGCTCAGCAAACTCAGCAATTGAGTGTATGTTACGTATTGATGTATCGTGTCCTAAAGTTCGTAGACTTCCATTTGATTTTAAGTGATTTTGTATAGAGAAAAAGCATTCCCAAAGACAGACAGTATTTGATGTTTATACAAAAATACACACAAATCCAGAACAGGAAAACGCTTTTATTGTATGTATAAATCTATGTACATGAAGAGTGAATTACATTTCAGCTAAACATCTAAGGATTACTGAGACAACCGTCGCAATTAACGCGAAAATAAATAACATCGTAAAACTACTTGTTGACAATTCAGTTCTAAAATTTGGGCAGAATGTGGAAAAAACAACACCGATGAAATTTTAGAACCGAAATCCTAAAATTCGACTTCCTGCTTGCTCATTACTTTGATCTGGATGCTTTTCTGATTCCCTTCACTGGTCTACGCGATCAACACATAAATCATTCTGCAACAAACAGGCAAATGTTAGAGATTTCGGTTCTGTGTTGGAGCAACTGTTTGTTCAACAGTGAAGTGCCCTCAATAGTTTTCTCGATGATTTATATGGATTTAGGAGAAGTTTAAAGAAACTTTCCTCGTTATATACAATAAATAACTTCATTAGTTAGTATGTAAACCATTCAGTGGCAACCAAATCACGCAGCCTCTAGAGGTATTCGCTCTAAAGCCATTACATACCCATATAAGTAATAGAAGAAGGAAATCAGATAGAAGGCAAGCTTGATCCAGCCCTCGCGCTGACTCAGCGTCAATTGGTCCGCGTTCATGATACTAGTGGGGTCATAAATGCCCACACCGGACATTACAGGCCTCGTCCGGTACCTGTTCAAGTGGTACAATATCAAGGGCAGGTTGATAATAAAGGTGAACCATTCCCCTGCACAAGCCAGCAGCAAGTTGAACACCATGTGCAGAATATACTCAGGCAGAACCAACTGGAAATCCAATCAATCAATCAAACAACGTAAAAATCTACTGGAATTAATCAACTTCTCACCGGGTTGAGACTATTACATTGATCTATCGGGTTCTTGTAATCGGTTTTTAGCTCGTCGATTGCAATCACGTGGAACAGGGAGAAGAAGATAAGGAATGCGTCCCCAATTAGGGCGATTATGTATGAGAATGCAGCGAAATTGAACGCCATGGTACCCCTATTTTGAAAATATCACTGTGGTGTTTTTTGTCGAATTACAATGACGCTGACAATTGAAATAGGTTAAGGACTTTTTGACGTTTGTTTGATAGAAGCCCGGCTATGTAAAGCGTGCTATGTGTCATCGTTGTTTGATGCAACGCCGTGCTCCTAGCTGGCGCTGTTGGCCGGGTATTTTACTGAATTTAGCCCATTTTTTTGTTTTTGGGAAGTGGAATATTCTTCAAACAATTAGCTGTTTTAATTGCACTCGTATTTTTTCTCCACTAATATCTTGATCGTTTGTTGTGTTTTATTTTTCCTTTTCCCATTAATGTTTGTAATAAATAAATATATAATCGTTTGGCATATAAATTTGTTTCTCGAAAATCTCGCTCTAGATCAAGATTTTTATTTGTCAATAGTTTGGAAATTCACCAAAAATCACGTCGTATTATCGTCTGGTGCGAACGAAAATGTCACATGTACGAGCAGGAAGTGATAATCACGTGCAAGATGCGCTGGTAGGTCGCAACCATCCCATTGATAAATGTGTCCAAATTGTCGACTTATTTTTGTCTAGAGGGTTTAACTAGAGCGGAATGCGTCCTGAGGGATTAAACAGGAATTCCCTGTGCTGCTAATCGCGCCCTTGTGCGAACAATTCCCAATTTGAGAACTTAGGCGGGATTAAAATAACTAATTAATCCACTTAATCACTAATAATATGAGTCGACAGGGTTAAAAATACGAACTTCCCGGTTGAAGCAATCAAATTTGTGGTCGAGCCATAAAAATTAATGGGACAAAATAAAGCTGTCGAAACGTGAACATTAACGTCCGAACTGAATGGGACTCTTAAAATATTCGTCCTTTATTTTCAATGAATTCGGTTTAAGGATTAAGTGAACTTAAATCGGGTGTCGGGTTTTCACTCAAAACAAACACGGCGTCCAAATGTTTAAGATATATTTTGAAAAGTGTCATTCGAGAGCTTTATGTTTAGTAAACGGGGCTGAACATTTCAACAAACACCCATCTGTGTATTACAAACACATCATTTTGCTGTAAATATCATTTTTACCTTCGCTCAAGTGGCTGTTTATTAATTAGTCGGAGAGTTGACTCGGTTATCCGTGATATTAATTAAGAGAAGAGTGCGACTGTTTTTCAGTTGTTTAAGAACGGAATTAGGACGCAAATAAACAAGAAAATGTTTTTTTTTGTTAATTTTGTTGCTTATGTAAGCAACTACAGGATAATTCAAATATGTGGGGTTTATAGGCAGTACAGGAGAAATAGTTTTAAAAAATAGTTCTTATCAGAAACTGAGATATTTGCAAAAAACCAGATCAGAAGATCGGCAACAATGTAAATGCTTGTTGCTTCTTAAATATTAAAAGTTCAAGTAACCACAGATAAGCACAGAAAGTGGGGTTTAAATGCAATGAAATAGGTTAGGGTAACCCGTACATTCAGAATTTTAGGCAAAACAGTCTGGTGGTTGGCGGTGAACATTTTTGAGAATTTTTCCAATTTGACGCTTGAAAATGCCGAATGGTTTCACTTTTGCTTGCACCACTGCAAGGGGCAAAACAAGGTTGAGCTAGAGGGCTGCTCGGAACAGAACTTGGTAGAGGACATTTTATTATACTTAGGAATTCTGAAAGTTTTTCTGGTTTTTTTAATTTTTTTGAGAATGTATTCACTTTGACTTGTTTTTTACAAAGGGGTTCAGCTGGAGGACGGCTCTCAGCACCACTCAATAGAGGAAACTTCACTATATCAATTCTGCAAGTTTGGGTTTCATCGCTTTTTTCATCGGTTTCTGGGAATTTTTCTCTCTCGTTTGCAAGAGTTTTGCTAAACAATTTCACTCAATACGAGGGGATCTAGAAGGCGGCTTTTAGCACAATTTAATAGAGCAGACTTTAATTAGTCCTGCACGTCTCAATTCATCGCATTTTTTCCCAATTTTTTGACAATTTTTCCAGTTACACCCTTGAACTTGTAGTGTGGTTTTCCTCTCGCTTGCAAGAGGTTTTTAAGTTTTGCACGGTTTGTTGGAACATCCTGCCTACAGTCCACACTTGTCACCTTGTGACTGTCATCTTTTCAAACTCCTAAACGAAAAGTTGGGGGTGGGAGGAAAAGGGAAAGGTGGGAAAATCTGAAGAGGTTATACGATAACGGGACTAAAAAGCTTCCAATCCGTTGGACAAAAAATTATTATGAATGTAGAAAAGTTGTATGATTAATTAGGTCGCGATATTCGATGCACTATCTATATGTGAATGAAGATGACAAGGCAAAAAGGAAAAAAGTAGTACAGTAGAAGAAAGTAGAAATAGTAAATAGAGAGAATGTTGTTATAGTTTTGTGGTCTTTTGGCCGACAATCGGCCCCTCAGGCAGTCCATACGAGGCGAATATAGATGTTGGCGTTCGGCACAGAATTACGTCTTTATTTATATCTCTCTTCACAAACAGGGGTGCAATAAAAATCAAGAAAATCAAAATAATGGCCACACGTATGCGGCACGAAAGAGCTAATGACACAAGTAGCAGGCGTGCATTCCAGACTATTAAAAGCGAGATTTATGGTTGAAAAAAGCCTCTCTCTAAACGTCTACAAATTGTTGAGCCGGTAAATGAGCGCCATTTGTCACGAGCCTAATACACTTCCAAGCTAATTTCGTTCAGCCCGTCACCCACCACTAAATCTCGGTATTGTTGACATTTTTATTTGTTGGAAATGTTGTGGCTTAAATTTTGCAACTGGCGATTAATCGCTTTTCCCCAAAACACGCCACTGTTTCATCGCTTTATTATCGCCATTAGTGGCACTGAACGCGGACGAGCGCTGAACATTTGTCAATTTACAGGGTGATTCAAAAGTATGAATATACAGGGTGTTCGGCTGTTGTTAGCGTCTAAACCGCACGAGCTGCAAGTTCGGGTAAATTGCACAAAAATTGTCGAATTTGATGACAAGTCGAGTTCGAGAGCCGAAAGGCGATCACCAAAAACGTTTTTTTGCAAATAAATCGGTACCTAAGGGTGGTCGGAAAAATATTTTCTATCAACATTTTATTAGTTTTGAACGGTCTACTCATTAATATTAGCTTGAACAAAGAAGATTTGCCGGTGATTCCGTTCAAAAAGTTCATGAAAAAATGTGTATTTCTCGGTGATTTGAGACTTGAAAGTTGGAAAAATTGCGTTCAAGATTCTTAAATTTAATATCAATGCGTAGAGGATTCAAAACTAAGGCATTGTTGTAAAAACAACTTTTCTCCACAACCTTTAGTTTTCGGTTTATTCGCAAAAAGTCCTTTTGGCTATTATTTAAAAATTTGACGTAACTATGACGTGATATCAGGTCAATGCACCGACTGG